TTAAAGCCTTGCCCACCCCCACCCCAAGGGCTGAGGGGGATTCATTGGCATTGGCCCTCAGAAGCCTCTCGGCTTGGCAGAGATGGGAAGAGCAAGTAGAGGCCCTGGGAGCTCCCTCCAGGGCAGCCCGAGGTACAGCAGGTACCTGCTGTGGCGAGCAGCGGTGGAATCTGACCAGGAGCTGGAGGCGGAGATATCCCCGTCCGGGATGGTCCGGTCCTGCATGCCCAGGGCATAGCGGCACTTGGCTGGATGAACACAGGCATACTGAGGGTTGATGCCCCCAACACTCAATCTCCCAAACCCCATTCCTCAGGGAGCCAGGAGCCAGTCTCCTCACCAGGGTCAAAATGTCCCTTCATGTCAGCATCTCCAGTTGCCACCAAGAACAGCAGCAGCAGCCAGGATGAGAGGGCCCCTGGCCCCATAGCTCCCAATGCTTCAGGCCGAAGCAGGTGGGGGCAGCATCTCTGCAGGGGACAAATGGGTGCTGGGCTAAGTTAGAGGGTAATCAGAGAGACTGGGTCACAAACAAGAGACAGAGAGACAGGTGGGCTGCTTTGGGGATCTCAGCAGTTAAATGACAACAGTGGTAATTGTTCAAATGCATCAGCTATGTTTTTAGGATGCTTCCCATGTGCCCGACACTGGGCTAAACTCTGATCCCCTCCCCATCTAGGAGCCAGGTATTCTAAGAGAAGTGAGGGACCCCAGCCCCTTCCAGTCCCACTGTCCTATATAGCCCTGCTAGGGTTAGTGTGGCCCGTGGACCAGCAGCCTCAGCAACACCTGGGAGCTTGGGAGAACTACAGAACCTCAGGCCCCACCCTGGAACAGCTGAAACAGAATTTGCATTTGAACACAATCCTAAGGTGATCTGTGCCCATTAAAGTTTGAGAAGCCTGCTCTTCTTCACTGGGGCCCAAGCAGCTTACCCCACCTGAAACCATTTCAACTGGCTTATGAACCCAGCTTATCTGCCCTTTCTAGGCACCCCTTCCCTGTCCTGTCATGTCCTCTTCTCAGTAGGTCTCCACTGAGTTCTCCAGGCCCTGGAATCCTGGGGGACCCCTGGTGCCACCCCTCACACCCTACTCCACCCCTGCCATCAGGTCCAAAGCATTCCATCTGCAGCTCTCCTTGTTCTGCCTTCCTTTCCTAAGACCCAGACCCCTGCCCCCACAGTTCCCAATTTCTGAGGTAGCTGCCTCTGAAGGAAAAGCCCAGAGCAGAGGAAAAGGCTGAGTTGCCTTGGTGATATAGGCGGGACTAAAGACAGGGAAGCCAGGTCACCCCAGGAGGTAGGAGGAGTGGGGGGATACTCCTCCATCCCTTTGTCCTTCTCCAGCTGCTCCCACAATGCTTTAGGGCAGGAATGTAAGACGCAGCTGAGACCCCATAGCTCTGAAGCAGCAGATGAGGGGGCTGACAGAGTTGCGGGGGGCACTAGGTATCAAAGAAGAGCCAGAACCAGACGCATCATGCCTGGTCCTTTGAGGGTCCAGGAGTCCCACACAGGAGAGCAGGCAGCCAGAGTTCCAGGCACTGGCCTGGAATTCCTGGGTGCGCTCTCCACCCCCACCTCCCTCGGGAACAGCGGGGCCCTTGTTCCCCTGAGTAACCTTCATGCATATCCTAGATGAGTCATCGGAGCCAACCTGAGCAAGAGGAGCCCCAGGCAGAGGATAGGAGGCAGAGGGAGACAGGGTGAGAGACACAAAGAGAGAGGTAAATGAAGCAGCCTCAGAAGCACAGGGCACAGAGCCAGAGAAATGCAGACATCTGAGGCAATTCATTCTCTGTGACACCCCCATTTCTCTCGACTGGGTCAGACATACAGTGGACAGGCCCAGAAGACCTACCCCAACCTCACCCATCCCACCCCACTGCAACCAATTACAAGCCAGGCACCCAGATACTGTTGCAGACCCTTCTCCCTTCTCTCCCACTCCCCCACACCCAACATCACCCACACAGCTCTGTACACACACACCTCAGACACTTGAACTCACACCCGCTGTAGATGCTGGGGCTAGACATGGCCTGTACATGCTCATGCACACACACACACACACACACACACACACACACACACACACACACTCCTCTGTATCTCACAGACTTTCAGAGACAGATGGTCCTGTGTGGCAACCACCTAAGTCCATTATACACAGACTCCCAGCCAGGAGGAACATGGACGCTCATGCACACCTCAGCGTTCTTTAAAAGTCCAGTCCCATCACTTGGACACCTTCAGACACATCTTCAGACACCTGTGAACATGAAATGACAGGCCCACCTATTCTAAGATCAGAAAAAAGTGTGAGACACACACAGGCCGGTGGGCACAGGATCCCAAGAGGACTGGGGTCCACTCCCTAATACACACTGTGACCAAGCCAGAGGGAAGTCAAGGCGGTGGGAACGCAAGGGAACTTGGGTGGCTGGTGGGGCAATAAGAACAAGAGCCATTCCTCTATCTTCCCATACTCTCAGCTTTCACCTGTCTGCACTGTACCACACAATTCTGGACACACCTATCTGAGTGTGAGCTCCAGACTCTGGCTGGGGGTGGAGATGCTGGAAAGGAACCCTACCAGCCAGCAGAGGACTTGGAGGGTGAAGGCTTTGGGGAGAGGGGAGGGAGGGACACTGAGGATGGTACTCACTGGGAAGTGACATTATCTCTCGTCAGAACCAACTGACCATCCAACATGGGTGAGCAGCCAACACTGGCATGTTAGGATGTCAGTCCCTCTCTGGGGGCTGGGGGCAGGCTGCTCAACTGGGAGGCTGGATGCAGGCTTAACAGTAAATCCCCACAGGGACCGGCCAGGTGGGAGGGCAGGCCCACTTCTTCAGGGGGCCAGAGAAGATGATGACTCTGTAGAGCCACATCCGAGCACCTGTCCTCCCGGGGTTCGGCTTCTCCATACTGGGTAAAGGGGGTCCTTCCTCAATGCTGGAAGACACTTTCTCAGAGGTCAGGGGGTTCCCCCCACTTTCAGACAGTGAGCCAGAGCCCTGGGGAGGCGGACAGGGACAGACTTAGAGGGGCTGGCCAGCCAAGCCCGGGACGTCCCGCCTCCGCCGCCAAGTCCGGCCTCCGCCGCCAGGCCTTCACCCTTGGGCCGCCGCGCCTCCCCGGTGTCCCGGGCCGCCACCCGCGCCCTCCGCCTCGCAGGGGGCCTCCGGCTCTCCCTACCTCTCATCGCTCTTCCCGGCAGACCCAGGCGTCCGGCCCGGAGCGGGGCCTCCGCGGCGGCTTGGCGTTGGCAGGGAGGCGAGGAGCCAGGAGCCGGGAGCGGGAGGCGCCGGCGGGGCTCGGGTGTCGGGAGGCGGCTCCCGAGAGCAGCTGTCGGGGGCCTGTTCCGGGGAGAGGAGCCAGAGCTGCGGCGGCTCGCGCCCAGGCGCCGCCTCCCCCTCGCCCGGCGGCCCCTCCCGCCCTCCTCGGGCCCGCTCCCCTCCGCCGCCCGCCGCGCGCCCCGGTCGCCGCCCGCCCCTCCCCCTAGCGGGCCCAGGCGTCCCCGCGCTCCCACGCCCGGCACCGCCCTCCAGGACCCGCGCTCCTCTCCGCCCCGCCACGCCCACCCCGCATTCCCCGGCGCGTCCCGGCCTCCCCCAGGTAACCAGGCGGCCGGCCTCCGCCTCTGCCTCCGCTCGGCGCTGCGGGCCCATCCCCCGCAGCCCATCCCCAGGTGCCCCACAAAGGAGACCCGTCGAGCTGAGGCCCCAGGGGGCCGGCGGCAGGCCAGCTCAGGGCCTCCCACATAGCCGGGCCCCAGGAGGGGATGACCCCTCCCCACACCCCTTACTGGGCTCAGCTCCTGGACAGGTAGGTGAGGGAGGCAGCCCCCGGGCACAGGGAAGGAGCAGGTTCCCACAGGCCCGGTGCCCAGCCCAGCAGCAGGAGTTTGAATCCGGGAGGGAGCAGGGCTCACCTGCCCCATCCCGCCCCTCAGACCCACTGTGCACACCACCAGCCTCTGCTTCTTTCTGGCACCCTCTGGCCTCCTGTCTCTACAGCCCAACCTAGACTTCCCCGGAATCTGATGGCCAGTCCTCTCTCCTAGCCCCTTCCTTTTTCTACTTTCACCTTCTGTTCCTCCAGCCCTCTCAGGGACCCTGGGGTGCTGACTCCCAGGCCCTGGTTCCCTTGGGCTCGCTGCCAAAGGCCTAGGAGTCCTCCTTAGCGCATGCCTTCCTCAGGCAGCCAGCTCTGGCTCTGACAGGGCAGGAGGTTCTGACCACCATCAAGGACAGGCCTGGACAAGGTAAGTGGTGGGCCAGAGAAGAACAGAGGCAAAGAGAAAGTCAGGCACAGCCTAAAAGGAATAGGACCAAGTTCCAGCGAAGATGGGTGCAAGGAGACTGGGTGAGGTGGGCAGGCCAGAGAGGCTGTGGTGGTAGGTGTTCCACCCACTCAGCACTGCCTCAGGCTCACCACCTCTCCACACTCACATCTGGGAGCACCTGGACATCGTCACCGTGTGCGTAATGCCCCACTGCACCTCACAGCAGATATCAGCTCAGGCCCTACGTGCAGTCCCAGACAGCAGTCCAGGAAAGAAACACGAAGTACGAACCAGACAAGTACACAAAACACTACCAGGAAGAGGCTGGCCCTTGGGAGAGGCCACAGCACATATGGGCATGAGCTCCAACCCATGGGTCCACACACAAACCCAAGGGTGCCCCAACTGCCAAGGGACTTACTAACAGCCCCATGGTCACACAGGAATAGTCTCTTCCCATTGTCCCCCCTAACCAAACCCCCAAGGTCCCCAGAGCACCTACCCCTGTGGAGACAGCCGCTGATGGGTATCTAGGCCCTGAGAGGCCGGCTGGAGGGGTGGAGCCAGGCTGGGGGTGGGGCCAAGGTTTCCCAGGTAACCTCACCTGGGCCGACTCTCGGCCCCTCCTCCTAGGGTTGTTGCTCTGGGGAAGCCCTGGGCAGGCAGGCGGAGCTGAGCGGCAGCCAGCTGCCTCTGGAGAGGAATGACAGCCCCTCACACCCCGGTGGGACATTCCACACCCTGGCCAGGTGGCATAGCAGTGCCAGACGGAGGGGTCCACTGAGGAGAGTAGAAGAAACTACAGAATCCCCTAGGAGAAATTCCTAATCGGTGATGCTCACCTCACCCCAGACCAGAGCTGGAAGAGTGGGAGGGATGTAGGCTGGGGCCCAGTGGAGTCAAGTGACAGCAGAAAGGGGGCTGGAGCCGACTGGAATGCGGGGCTTGGAGCTGAGATTCCCAGGGGCCTGAGAGGGAAATCCCAGCCATCCAGGGGCCCCCAGAACAGCACCAGAGACTGTGCTTGTCCACCCCCCTCCCGCGGCTCCCAGAGCCCATCCCACATCTCCTGCATCACTCCCAACTCCAGATGCCCCCTTGTCCTGAACCCCCAGGGGACCCTCTATCCCTCCCCCATCTATGCCCTCCCATCCAGGGCTTCCCTCCCCTTCTAGCCAATGGCCTCCTGATGCCCAGGAAGGAGAGGAGGGAAACAGCTGAAAAAACGTGAGGAGAGGCACGTAGGAAAGAGTAGCTGGGGCTGCCAACCACCCAGCCACTGCAGGGAAGCCCAGCAGGACCTGTGAGAGGGGGACGGAGCAGATGGGTCCCACACACCAATGGCAGTCCCCTTCCCAGGAGATGCAGCTGCCTCTGGGGCAGGCCACTGGGGCAGCAGCTGGGGACAGTGGGAACTGACTGGTGGGGGGCAGGGTGAGGGGACGGGCAAGGGCTTGGGTGTGAATCAGAGCTTGATTCCACCGAGGACAAATGGGGAACTGAGGCCCAGGAGTGGAAGGAGGAGGAAGAGAGGACAAAAGCACTGCGAGGAGGATGAACAGAGTTCAGCTGTGGAGGGCCCAGTGGATGGGGACTCAGAAGCAGGAGAGCAACTGAGGCCAAGGCTGAGGGGAACGGGGTCACAGAAAGGAAGGGAGGAGGCACACTGAGCCACACACAGCAAAATACAGGAAGGCAGAAGTTTGGGGAGAAAGGAGCTAGAGGTGGGGTTGCTCTGGAGGGCAGGAAAATCAGGAGCTCTGAGAGGCTGGGGAAAGAGGAGGGATACTAAGGCACAGGGGCTGACATGGCATGGGGCGATGACAAGTGTGAAAGGCTAGAAAGGAAGGGTAAACTGCGGAGCAGACTAGGGCAGACAAAGGCCCAAAACTGAATCAAACCCATTTCTGGGCAGCAGGACACAGAGGCCCCAGACCTCCCTCTGGGGACACTCAAACCCCTCAGCCCATCTGCTGCACCATGGGCCCCAATTTTTCTTCCTTCCCCTCCTCCTGCCCACCATGCACCCTCTTCCCACTACACCCCCAGCCTGGCCACCTGGTCCCTCCCTGAGGAGGAAGGACGCAGCTCCAGTCTCTACTCCCGCCCTCCCCGTTCAGCTCTGGCTTCTACCCTCTCACCTCCAGCTCAGGGTTCCCCTGGGTCCCAGTCCCTCCAGTCTCAGGCCTTAGGGGTTCCGGGTCTGGGGCTGCCAAGGCTGCCTGGCTTTGTCTGCCCATCCCAGGGCAGGGAGCAGCTGCCCCAGCCAGCTGTGGCCGGCTTCGACGTGACCATGGCAACCCAGCCTGATCCCCTTCACCGAGCCTCCAGCCCTCACAGAGAGGGAGGGAGCAGCCTGGCTGGGAGAGAGGGAAGGGGGCAGAGCAAAGGGAGACTGCAGACAAAGAGATCCCAAACAAAGGGAGCTGAAGGGAGGCCGCGAGGAAGGGAGCAGTGGCTAGCTGTGGCTGCAGGCTTAGGCAGTGAAGCTTGGTCCTGCGGAGGGGGAGAGCCCAAGCAAGAGGGACAGACAAACGGAAGGTAAGAGAAGAGAGACTCTAAATGACTGGCTGTGTGCCTTTGGAGTTGCCTTCTGGGTCCCTAACTAATCACTTCCTTCTTTCAGAATTTTGCACTCTGAGGAGCACCAGAATACCAGTTCCTACTTGGCTGCCCCGAAGCATTACATGGTGAGAGCCCCGGAACTGGACCAGTGGCCACGGGAAGTCCCTAAGGCCAAAGGCACCCTCTGTTTTCAAGAACAGCGCCCATTTCAAATATACTCTGAGCTGTCACCTCTGAAATACAAATGTCCTTGTCAAACAATGCACTTGGATTCTCGGTTCAGAAAACGTGATCCCCAAAGCTGAAAGTGGCTGATGAGGCTTGGGGACGTGGGGCAGGGAGGGAAGCAGTAAAGATGCCTGAGAGGTAGCAGAGTACCAAATAGGGAGGGAGAAAGCAAGGCTTTGCCCCGTACCTCCAGCTTCTCTGGCTGAGTCCTGCAACATCCCATTTCTGTCATTAGTAGAGGAGATAATACTTGCCTGGGAGTCTGTCAGGATAATAATGTGAGATGCCATCTATAGAGCACAGGCCCTTCTGATGGAAGCAATCATCCTAACTCCATTGACATGATCTCTCTGTGTGACTTTCTAATGTGTCACTCGGGTCTCTGTGAGTTCCGTCTCCCAGGCCCTCCTACAGGTAGTAAGGGATTGTTCAGGGAAGGACTCTGACAGTAAGGGCTATGAAAAATAAATTTGAGGAACACAATGTACTCTCTGTCCTCCAGCCATTTACAGTCTGGAGGGGGAGCCTAGCACGTGCGTGTATTCCGTGTATGCGTGCACGTGTGTGTGTTTGTGCATGTGTGATCACAGAAGACAGCATGACTCAGGTTATAGTCAGAGCTGACAGAGGCTGTGGAAACCCAGGTCCCCTTGAGTGGGGCAGGAGGCAAGATTGAAGGAGACCCCACGGAAGAGTTAGAGCTTGAATGGGGCCTTAAGTCAGACAAAGATTTACAGAAATGAGGGAAGGCCATCACTGGCTGAAGGAGCCGAACACTAGCAGGGAAAATGCAGCTGTGATGGGGAGACAGAGTCTGTCCAGGCGAGAAACCCAGAAAGGCAGCGTGAGATGAGGGAACCTCATTAGCAGTTTGGCCTATTCCCAAGGAGAGAAGGAAGACCCTTGGGGTTTTGAGCTGGGAAATGATGTGATTAGATTAGTGATATTTTAAAAGCAGTTTCTGGCAGCAGTGTGTTGGACCTGTGGTGCAGAGGGTGAATTCCACCTTTATCCTTTCTCCATCTGCCTGGTGTTGTACCCGCAGCCCCTTTCCAGGAATGCCATGAGGAGATGGTGAGATCTCAAGGAAGGCAGTGCCCATGCATGGTATTTTGCTGGTGTTTTCACATTTGGTTGTCTCCTCAGGGCTTCTGAGGTGGATGGGGCAGGGCTCTTCATAAAAATGGAATCCGCCCCGGAGAGGTTGTAACTTGCCTTAATTCTGTGGCAAGTTGTTGCTTCCCCTGGCCAGCACTTCTAGATTTCTTTGCCTTACTTATCCAAAAGGGGGAGGCAGCAAGAGAGGGTTCCAGAAAAGTCTCTGTGGGGCAGACCTGAGCCCCTTGAGTCCTGCCCCACACCATCTCCAAACCCCACCTTTCATGATCACCTCATGATCCCTGCAAAGAACAAGAAGGCCACTAGGTGGCGGTCGCCACATAGGTACCAACACTACAAACCCGGGAAAGAAGTGATAGGGATGGGGGAGGAAAAGAAGTTGTATTTTGTACTGTTCTCCATGTTTTAGTTTTTTATAATGAGCTTAACCAATTTTATATTTTAAGATGCAATTATTTCAGCCTAGCAAGACAGAAAACTGAGACAATCATGGCTCTATCCCAGCCAAACACCGTGGAAAAAATAAATACAGCTCCATTCCCCACTCCCGTCAGCAAAGGCTGAGTGAGGAGCCCTCCACTTCTTCTGATACCTGGCTGTGACAGGATGCCTGGTCTTGAGTGAGCGCCTCTTCTCCCTTCCCTGGGGGTGTATCCAAGAAGACTAAGGAAGGATCCCAGACTTTCCTCCCTGCCCAATAGTAAAAAGCCCTCACTATGGGGCTGTTTTTTTTCAGAACTGAAAAGTACCATAACCAAAATAAGAAGTTCACTGAATGGGTTCCCCAGCAGAATGGAGAGGACCCATGTGGTTATAAGTAGAGATCAAATGTGCCAAAAGACATACAGCTACAGATTCAAGGGACTGAGAAAACCACAAACAGAATAAATTTAAAGAGATCCAAATCAGGACACATCATAATGAAACTCCTGAAAACCAAAGACAGAAAATCTTGAGAGCAGCATGGAATGACACATGACCTGTAGGGGAAAACTATTCAAGTGAGAGAAACTGTGGAAGCCAGCAGGAAGTGGCACAACATTTTCCAAGTGCTGAAGGAAAAGAACTGTCAGGCCAGAATCCTACATTCATGAAAACTATCCTTCAGCAGTGAAGGGAAAACAAGACCTTTTTGGAAGAAAGAAAACTAAAAGAATTTGTCGTCAGCCGATCTACTCTAAAGAAGCACTGAAATAAATTACTGAGACAGGAAGGAGATGATAAAAGAAGGAATCTTGGAATATCAGTAAGAAAAAGAACAAGCAAAAAAAAAAAATAGGGTTATACTTTCTCACCTCTTAATATCAAGTTTGGCCTTGTGACCTGTTCTAGGCAATGAGATATGAACAGAAGTGACGTATGTCAATTCTAGGGAGTAGCTTTGATGGCGAGTGTGTGGTCCTCCATGACTCCATCTGGATCCTGGTGTGAGATGACAGGAACAGAGCCCCAGCCAACCTGCAGTGGACATGCAACATGAGCAAAAAATAAGCCTTGGATGTTGTGAGCCCTGAAGAGTTCGGAGTTTTTGTCACCATAGCAAAACCTAATCTTTCTTGACTGGCACATAATCCCTGGTATTTGCATAGCTCATTTGAGCTGCCAAAATGTTGTCTGCATTATTTCCTTTGACCTTCACAGAGCCCTGTGATTTATGGAGGCCAGAGGTTACCTGGACCTTGTGCTGTCCCCGTTACTGACTGACATTAAATAAATTCCTCCTCCACCTGATCCATGGTTCCATGGAGATGCCCGTGTAAGAAGCAGCTGGACAGCAAATTAGTTGCAGCAATTTGGAGCAATTACAGATACAGCTTCCTATATGAGGTTCCTACTTGCCCTTAGTGTTCGTTTTCTTTGTCCACAGCAACTTGGTATGCTTGGAATGTCTTTCCAGATTTTGTCATTGTACATAAATTTAATCTGCTCTGGTGGGTGACTGACAATTTCTTTGAGGTGACATGAAGACTCTTAGATACAGTGCATGCCACATAGCATATATTTTAAGTCTGTCTTTATCAAACAGAACCTTCAAATTTGTTGAAAACCCATTGTGTTGGTTTCTATTGCCGTGTAACAAATTACCCCGTAAGTTAGTAGCTTAAAACAGTTATTCTCTCTCTTAATATACACAAATTATTACAATTTGTTATTATTGAAGTTTTAAAAAATAGTTCGCACATCAAAACCCACCTCTTCTCCTTGCCACCAAATTGGACCTCTTCTGGAAGTTTCTACTCATAAAAAAATTGCCCATCACCATCAGACTGAACAAGCCCAGTTTCTTAGACCCTCCTTAATTTAATACCTCTTTCTGTCTTTTATTCGCATATTCAATCCATCACCACATCATGTGGATTTTACTCCCTAACTGTTTCTCAAATCTGGCAATGTCTTTCCATCTTCTTCATCAGCACTCCTAATTCACATGCTATCATGCTGGGCATAATCCAGTGCCCACTGGCCTTCACCCCGAGGCTTCGCCAATCAACCTTTCACACTACAGAGAGAAGAACCTTTTCAAAATGGACCTCTGGTCATGTTTTCCCCTAAGTGAAACTCCAGCGATTCCCTTTGTTCTCCTAGAATGAAGGTAAAACTCCCAACGGGACCTACAGAGCCCCTGCCAACCCCTGCAGCTTCATGTGCTGTCAGGATCCCTGCACTGTTCCCTCTCAGCCCCATCAGCTTCAACACTGCTGCTCATCTACTGAACCCCTGGGGCTTAGCACAGGGCCCAGCACAGAGTCAGTGCTCAGTAAGTGCTGATGGGACGAATGAATGAATGGGCTTGTAAATCATGCAAGGGTTGGGTTCAGGTCTCTAAGACAGCAATAAGCAATACTGATGGATCTTAAAAATACAGCACCGAGAGAAAAAACTAAGAAATATAATGAGGTTTATAATATATTGCTTTGATACTTTTTAAAAATTAAGAGTACATTAACTCACAGTAGCACTAGCAATTATACTTAAAGTATACTCAAAATAGCCATACAGTTTACAAAAACACATTCAAAGAGAAGGAACAACATGGAGCACAGTAGGATGGATGCCCAGTGAAGGGAGAAACAGAATTTGGGGCCGAGTAAAATGGAATAAATAAATAGAGCATCAGCCTTACACAGACACATGATGGCAACGTGCCATGAAGTCTCACAGGGGAAGAATGAGAGAGAATCACCGGTGTAGAATAAGAGAAGGGGCCCCTCTGAGCCCTGAGAAGCTGCCATGCTTAAGGATGAGGAGGAGAAGGGTGCCAGCAGAGGAGCTGAGCTGCGGGGGTGGGAGAGCAGGAGGGGCAGGGGAGGTGGATGGCTGGAGCAAGGAGGGGCTGGCCGCTGCAGTACTGAGCCCAGAACAGGGTCCCTCCAAATCCCTCAGCTGAGTGGCTTAACTATTTGATTTTATATTTAGAGCATCTTGATTTATTTTGAATAGGTAATACCTTCCCACAGTTCAAAATTGTAAACGATCTAAAAGTACCTGCAGCCAAGCTTCCCAGGCCACCCGTGACCCACCCCAGAGGCAAAGCTGCCAATGTTTTCTTTATATCCTTCCACCTATATTCTCATATCCTTCTATACATATACAGGCAAATTTATAAGATACGCACACAACCATGTTTTTCTTCTTTTTTTAAACAAAAGGAAGCATTCTATAGAGATACATATACTATTCAGTTCCCTGCTTTTTTCACTTACCACATATCGGTGTATAAAGAGTCTGTATATCTTTTTTTCACAGCTGCACATCATTCCACTTTATGGAAAACTATCATTTTTTAAACCAACCTCTATTCATGATCATTTGAATTATTTCCAACCTTTTGCACAGCAATGCTGAAGCAAACTACCTCTTACAGGAGCCGTGCACACACGAGTGACTGCGTTTGTAGGGATGAGTTGTAGAAGCAGATTTCCTGAATAACGGGATTTGTGGTCTTGGTAGACTTGGCCAGCTGCCCTCCATAGAAACTGAACAAGTTTACACTCCAACTGTGACTGTTGGAGGGTCTTCTTAGGATAGCTTTTGACAGAGAGCATATGCCCCCCATGAAAGGCAAAATTAAGGAGTTGAGGAAATTGAGGTATAATTAGAGGCACTGTAATTTTTTTAAAAAAGACAAAAACAAACAAATAAACCCACCCTTGTATGTTAAACAGAGCTTTTGAAGCTCCTTTCTGTTTTGTCTTTGAAAGAGGCTTTGCATACCAAGCCCCACACATTACTGACCACTGAAGCCTGCCTTCTCTGTCCCCTTGTTTGGGTCCTGCCATTCAAGCTCTAATCTTATTAGGAATACTGAGAAGGAAAAAATCCTTGCTAAATTAGCAAAGCATAGTGCAGAGCAGAACATGAGGATAAATAAAATATAAATAATTTTCAAAGGGAACTTGAGACATGTCAACCAATTGCAATATGTGGATCTTATTTGGATCCTGATTTTCCAAAACACTGTGTGTGTGTGTGTGTGTGTGTGTGTTTGTGTGTATGTGTAAAATAATCAGAACAGTCAGAAAAAAATTAATCCTTTAACCTTCACTGGTTATTTAATGATATGGAGAAATTAATATTGATATTTTGAGGTAAGATAATGATATTGTAGCTATGTATTTTTTTAAAAGAGGGCTGTTACTCTTAGTTACCAGAGTAAATATTAATGGGCAAGATGCCACAATGCCTGAGGCTGCCTCGGCATAATGGGGCCAACGCGGCTGCCAGTGGATAAACCAAGAAAGGCCATGAGTGTGTATGCCGCAGATGCACAACGGGGACAGTGGAGTCTATTATAGTACTGCCTCTCCTTTTAAATATGCTTGAAACTTCCCCAAATAAAAACGGTTTCTAATTAAAATTTTTGAATGTCTTAAAAATATTTTTGCCTCCCACCCACCCAAAATTATAGGTCCTGATGAGATACTTGAACTTGCCCATCAGTCAGATCAGTAAGAGAAAATTTGAATATATTTTTGCTCAGAAATAATTTTGGTAAGAGAAGGTGGAGAAGTTCTTGTCTGTGCTACAAATGGAAGCATTGTTCCCTTAGAGACTAGAGCAACTGGAGGCCGGGGCAGTAGAGGCACAGGGATGGTTTCCCCTGAGTCTGCCTGGGGACCTGCAAAGGCCTTGGAGAGGGGGTCACACCTGAGCTGGACAGGAAAGATGAATAGAGTTTCCAGGCAGAAAAACAGGGAGGGAACATTCAGGCAGAGGAAGATGTTATGTGCAGAGCCCAGAAGTGTGAGAGAGACCACCACAGGTTCTAAGACAAAGGAAAGAAAAGGTAAAAGGTGATACTGGGTGTGTTTATCAGTCAGAATGCCCATAGCTGTAATTATCAGAAGCTTAAACCAAAATAGGTTCTGGGTTAAAAGGGTTCTAGGTTACCCCATACACAAAAGTAAACTCAAAATGGATCAAAGACCTGAATATAAGTCATGAAACCATAAAACTCTTAAAAAAAACATAGGCAAAAATCTCTTGAACATAAACATGAGCAACTGTTCCCTGAACGCATCTCCTTGGGCAAGGGAAACAAAATAAAAAATGAACAAATGGGACTACATCATGTTAAAAAGCTTCTGTACAGCAAAGGACACTATCAGCAGAAAAAAGCATCCTACAGAATGGGAGAATTTATTTGTAAATGACATATCCGACAAGGGGTTAACATCCAAAATATATAAAGAACTCACACGTCTCAGCATCCAAAAAGCAAATAACCCTATTAAAAAATGGGTGGAGGATATGAACAGACAATTCTCCAAAGAAGAAATTCAGATGGCCAACAGGCACATGAAAAGATGCTTCACATCACTAATTATCAGGGAAATGCAAATGAAAGCCACAATGAGATATCACCTCACACCAGTTAGGATGGCCAACATAGAAAAGAATAAGAACAACAAATGCTGGTGAGGATGCAGAGAAAGGGGAACCCTCCTACACTGCTGGTGGGAATGTAAACTAGTTCAACCATTGTGGAAAGCAGTATGGAAGTTCCTCAAAAACTAAAAATAGAAATACCATTGAGGGAATTCCACTCCTAGGAATTTACCCTAAGAATGCAGGTTCCCAGTTTCAAAAAGACATATGCACCCCTATGTTTATCGCAGCACTATTTAAAATAGCCAAGAAATGAAAGCAACCTAAGTGTCCATCAGTAGATGAATGGATAAAGAAGATGTGATACATATAAACAATGGAATATTATTCAGCCATAAGAAGAAAACAAATCCTACCATTTGCAACAACATAGTTGGAGCTAGAGGGTATTATGCTCAGT